TAATAGTCAAGTTAATCCTGCTTATTCTATCTTATATATTGTAGCTTTTTTGGTTGGCCTAGCTTTCTGTTTAATAATGCTATATGCCCATATTTTTAAAAATGAAAACAATGCTTAACATTTCCTTATGTTTTAAAGTCACTTAGGATTGTCTTGTATGTTCACATAACTATATGTTTCTTAGATTCAGTTTATAAGCATCTTTCATTATTACAAAACAACAGTTTCCATGAATTCTCTTTAAGCTCTTTTGTGCTTTTCATATGTATTTTATGTATTATATGGTCAGTTAAGCATAGCTGATTTTTACTTGTTTTTCAGTTTTGTGGTTTATTAAAACCAAAGGCACAAAGATCACTTGTTACTTTTAGTCTCAACTACTTTTAGTCATCAAGTGTCACCCCTTGTCAATTTTGAAAGTAACCCGTTTCTTTATCTATGGGAAAGAAAATTGTAGTTTTCTTTTACTTTTACAAGTAGTTCAGTTCTAGTCATAAATTTCCTTGCCTGTGTCTTTTTTTTTTTTCTTTCAGGATTTAAAACCTTTGAATTGAAGGGTAGTTTGACATTATTTTGAAATTATCCTCTCTGTCCCATGTGCCTTCTAAAGTATAGTTTTGTTTTTTTTTAAATTCCTACTTTTAAATGATTGCTTTAAAGATAATAAGGATGGTGTATTAATCTAGCTTGAAATCATAGCTCTTTGCTTTTCTATTGGATTATTGAAATTGCATAAGGATAATTATGAGGAATCTTGAGTATTTCTCAGTCAGTTTGCCCTTTTTTCTAAACTTATACAGTGAGGTCTTCGTGTTTTAAATCCAGGAACTAAACCAAAATCTTCGGAACACCAGCAGACTCTCTACCTATCCCTTCTCCCATTCTTAATTGACAACATAAATGATAAATAAAAAGCTATATGTATTTAGTTTAGTCTTTCAGTATACTTTATCACTAAGCTGCAATAATGCCATTTTCTTTTATTTTTCATTCCCGATGTCTTATATACTAGGTTCACTATGAATTAAATAGGTTTTGGGAGAGCTAATTAGATTACCGAATTACTACATACTTTTATGAAGAAGATGCTGTCCAAGTTGAAAGTTGATGTCTTTTGAATGAACATTTGGGGCCAGTTTAATTTGGGGGTTCCTATTTCTAGAGTTAGGAGAAATTTATCAAAATAGAAATAAGTGTCATCCAAAATACTCACTTACTTGTTTATATCAAGAAATTCCAGACTAAATTAAATAGATTTTGTTTTTGTGACTATTTGTGTTCCGAGAAAGTTGATGATATTAAGAGATACATTAAGGAAACAAAGTGAACAAAGACCAAAGTATAGTAGTAATTCCTGCCACAATGCCAGGTATTTTCAGAATAGTATCACGTTCTACAAAATCAAACACTAAACTTTTTGTGAGAAAAGCCATGTTGGTACAGAACACTACAAGTATATAACTTTGTAAGTGTACTTCTACCATATAAAATACCAACTCAATTACTAGCACATCAAGTATCCTCTGACAGTTACACGTAGAGTCAGTTTACACTTTGCAGCCTTATACTATGGGATTCATACTTCCCGATTGAATACATATGCTTCCAGTGGAAACCCACTTTAATCAAGACCAAAAAAATAATTCCAAGATAACGTCATCAGTTCAGGTGCTGTGTTTTGTTTTGACAGTGAAGAAAGGTTTTCGCATCTCCATCTGTGCATGCAGCCTCTGAAGATAGCTTAATACAGAGGAAAAGCCAAGCAGTTTTTAAGCCAGTAACCACTTCTTTGAATAAGAAAAGCACTTCTAAAGAGGGTGTTTATTTTTTTTTTCTTAAACTGAATACTCCTACCTCTAGTTACTTCAAATCATTATCCTGGGAATAAAATCTTTCATAACTTTACATCATACTGACAAGATTCCTGTATTTGCCAATTACATATTGAGTGATTAACCAGACTATAGCTCAAATAATTATGAAAAAACAATAAAGAAGGTATGGGTAAAGTTAAACATAGGTAAAAGAAGGCCAGATTGATAGATCCTAAATTGGAAGTATAGTCAAAATTTAGAAAGTTAGTTTCAAACTAACAAAGCTATATAAACATTTTGGTTTAAAAGAGGAAAATATTCATTTCTTAAAGCAACATTTTGTGAGTATACCCAAACTCATCCTTACTGTGATTTCTACCCATATTGGATTACCAGTTAATCTTGGCATAATTTCTCATTCTTTATAGAGGATAATGGCACCTAGTACATATTAAATGAGCAGTGCTCTGCCTTACTTTCCCATTTAGCCTGAACAAAATCTCAGTAGCCATATCAGTATAGCATTTTAGTCATTAAAACCAACCAGTATGATTTGGCATGTCCTATGATACTCTTTATTGACAATTTAATCCAAACAGGCTGCTAAATCCTTTACCAATATTATAGTATTTAATCTTCACAGCACTCTGTGGTACATTGTTTTAATCCCCATTTAGAACTGGAGGAAATGGAAGCTTCAGTGTTATCAAATTGAGTGCAAATTCACTATTACCTATAAGTCATCTCATAGCTTTTATGAAGAAGGTATACTATAAAATAAATAACATTAATGTAAGTATAATATACTAAGAAATTTAGAGTTGACAATAAGTACTTGAGCTAAATGGTTCATGATGAATTGAGAATAAGAAATCATTAGAGAAATGAAATTTTTACAAAAATGGACTCAGAGGAAGCTAAATGGAAGATGGGATAGAGATAAAATACACCTTTATTCCCTAAAACATGGTGAAGGCAGCATTGATTTCTGATTTTGAAATTTCTAGTTTATAGTCACTAGCTTTACTTATTCCTATGCTTGAAAATACTTGAATTGTCTGTGGTATTCTTAGAGTACATTTCTTTTTTATTTGAGCTAGGAAAGTGACTCTTCCTTTAACCAAGTGATGCCTAAAGCCATAAAGATTTAGAATTAGTATACAAAGAAAGCTTTGGGAAACAGGTAGCTCTGATCTTGTTGAATTTGAGGTTATAAACTTTCTGGGTTAGAGATTTTAAATCCATGAAATAGAGATCATAGTTAAAATTGTAGTAGTGAATGAGATCTTCCATAGAGAATGATAGGAGCAGAAGGCTTAGGAATGTAGAATGAACAGCAGCATCTCAGCAGATGGCTGAGGAACGAAGTAAGTTCTAGCGCTAGAGAACAAACCGCTCAGTGTTAGGAGAGCCTGAGGAGGTGATGTCAACAAAGCCACGGCAATACCGTTTCTAGAAAAATAAATCACTGTCAGGTAAGCCAGAAAGATCAAATATGAGAGGGACTGAGAGTCCATTTGATCTAGCAGTGAGGTCAGTGATAACTGCCTCCTAGCTTGGTTTTTATGGAATTAAGGTTCTTACCTTAATTGGAAGTCTGATTTCAGTGAGTCAAAAAGAAAATGCAAAGGAAGAAGATAAGGAAGATTTATCAATGCATTATGATGAGCTGTCAGGAATATAGTGAAAATATATCATTGTGATGGGGGTGGCATCATTTGGGGCTGAAGTAGACTTTAGAAATATTCAAGTAGCGACTCCTTATTTTATTTAACACATGAGGAAACCAAGACCCAAAAAGCTTAGTAGTTTATACTATGCAGAACCAGTAAATGGCAGGTCTTCTGATTGCAGATTTATATAACACTTAACCCAAAAGGTAGAGAATATATTTGTAATGTTAATCATACTTTTTAGCATTTCAACTTATTCTTTCTTTGCTATAGAAAGGAATGTTACGGTTGTGCCTGAATATAATTATCTGCATGTCTAGTGTATTGTGCATGCAAAAATGTGTTGGTAAAAGTTTTTGGCTAGATCTGAAACAAAATGCCAAATTCAAGTCATGTTGCAAATATGCAAAATTAAATCAGAATATGGATTCACAACCAATTAAGGGAGAAACATGATGCTATAGTTTTTAAAATACTTACTGAATTTGAAATGTAAAATACTGAATCTTAAAATAACCGTTCTTATTTATGGGTAATGTTTCTTCCCTTGGTCATTTGTATGAAAATGAGTTATTTGCAACAGTGTTTTTGAGCATCCATGCCAGAACATTGATGGTTTCTTGAGTTTTTGGTATAAGAGCACCACCTATAGGTTTTTCAGGTATTGGAGAAGAAATTCCTAAAACAAAAACTGGTAAAATTCTTTTTAGTTGTCCCCTATCCTTTTATTTAAGTTAATATATTTATTGAAAGGTTAATTATCTGCATTGTCATGTACTTTTCCACCTAGGACTCAGATGTTTACCACTGCTGTTAAATCAGCTAACAACTATTTCAGTACTTTCATGCCAATACAGTATTAAGTTATATATAATTAAATTCAAAATTGTATTCTTTTTAATATAGATTAATATCTTAGTGAAAATGAACAATTGTCAACATTCTGGGAGGAGGCACAATAATGATTTTGCCTCTTTATTTGTATATCTCTTTATGAGTAAGAATTGCATCAAATCTGAAAAAGAAAGACACATACCAGATGATTTCACTCATGTGGAATATCAAAAACATAACAAAAACAAAAACAAACCCTTGAAATAAAACTGCAGAGCTGCGGCTACCAAAAGAGGTGTTGGGGGGTGGAAACAAAAAAGGGAGGAGCACCAGTGGACTGTGATGGAGGATTGTTGGAAGTGGGCGTGATGTGATAACATACATGTGTGAACCTGTACACCTGAAACATACACAATGTTCTAATCAGTGTTACCTGAATAAACATAATTTTAAAAATAAGAATTCCATCAGTATATTACTGCTTTATTATACTTTGAAATGGAGAAAAATAAAGTACATCATTAGAATAATAAACATTTTATGGTTGACAGTACCATATTTTATTGTATATTATTTAATGTATGAAGTGTTGGGTGTTTTTTAATAAATTCTGATTTACTTAATGCCCTGTTTTAAAGTATAATAACTAGTTAAGATTACTAATTTGGCTATATTCCAGCTTGTGGAGAGACTCCAGAACAAATTCAAGCACCAAGTGGTATAATCACGAGCCCAGGCTGGCCTTCTGAATATCCTGCCAAAATCAACTGTAGCTGGTTCATAAGGGCAAATCCAGGGGAAATCATTACTATAAGGTAATTCTGATGCCTTTCTGTATTATTATATAATATTTTATTACAAAATATAAATTTAGCTTCCAAACATTATCATTCAACTTGCAGTAATGCAAAAAAGGTGATTTTCATAAAATAAATGAATTATGGTTGTCAGTGCCATGTTCAGGGTAGGAATAAAGTCCCATCCTCCTCCTGCTATTAAATCTTGTTCTTTGAAGTTTGTCTAATGGTGGTAACAGATTTGCTCTGAGCTATTCACATCTTTATAGGCCACTTTTTTAACAAAAGTACACACTTACAAAATAGCCTTTTAAGATTGAGTGAAATCTTTGACCATGAGTCAAATAAACAAAATTCACTAAATCACTTGGAGATTTAGCTCATGATTTTATTCTCATTAGAGTCCCTTACCTTAATGATTGGAGGGCATGTCTGTATATATGTATATCTAAGTATGAAACCTCAGATGAACTGATAATGAATAAATAAATATGTCTAGAAAAATCTGTATCTCTGAAACAAAAGAATATTTCTGAAAAATACAAAGTGAAAGATATTCCTAGGAGAAATAACCTTAAGTTTTAGGATTTTAATAATAAATATGACATAAATAAGAAGGTTTAAGAGCTGTGTGGAGATTTCTGGACCTACTAAACATAGAGCTTCCACAGGATCCAGCAATTCCACTCCTAGGTATTTACCCAAAGGACACAGAAACATCAATTCCAAAGAACACCTGCACCCCTATGTTTATAGCAGCACTGTTTACAATAGCTAAGCTTTGGAAACAACCCAAATGCCCAAAAATAGATGACTGGATCAAGAAGATGTGGTACATATATACCATGGAATATTACTCAGCATTCAAAAAAGATAAACACATGCAATTTGCAGCAACATGGATGGCGCTGGAAGGGATCATGCTCAGTGAAATAAGCCAAAAAGAAAAAGAAAAATACCGGATGGTCTCACTCATAGCAGGAATCTAGAATACTTAAATAAGGGACCAGGAAAATGAATAACTATAAGAAAGTGAAAATCAAAATCAACAAAAACTATGAACCAGAGACTTTTTGGGGGGTGGGGGGGCGGGAGGGGAGGGATTGGGGTCAGAATGGGGGGATTGCAAATGTATGAGGAATATAAAAATAAAATTTATTAATTTAAAAAAAAGATTAAAAAAAATCATTTTTTTAATTTTATTTATTTTTGTGTAGAAGAACTGGGGTGTAGGCCAGAAGCGTGGAGTGGGTGGGAGTTGTTGAGAGGATTCACCAGAGACAGAGTGGGGAGCAGAACAGGTAGATTGGTGGGCCATAAATTCAAATTCCTTCATTTAATATTTTTTAAAAATCAAGTTGTAAATTTAGCATACTTTGAGCCTTTCCAGCCTCTTTTTTTATATCCATTAGTTAATGAGAGAACTAGTCTCTCTTGAGAAACACAACTTATCTAGCCCCTTTTTCCTGTGGACACCATAAAATAGGGGTCATGTGGTCTATTTTCCTTTGGTCCCTTCTGCCCAGAGCCACCTCTTCTGGAACACTGGAGCTCAGCTTGGTTAGAAGCTGTCCCACTCCTCTGAGAGAAGTGTGATTTGCCAGATAGATTGGTGGGATTCGCCAGTAAGGTTATGTTCTCCAACAGCACTGATGTTGGAATCTGAACAATATGCCTGTTTTCTGTTACTTATAATATTTGAGTAATAATAAATCAGTTTCCAAAATAGCATTTTTTTTCCATGGATTTTTTTTTTTTTTTCAGCACAAATCTAGAATTTGGGGAATTTTTCTCTTTTAACCCAAAAATCCAACCCCAAATTAAATTTGCAGCCTACCCATTGAATTATATAAAAACTTGCAAAATCTTGCCAGCACAGAAGTTACATGGCATTATGCCATCTGATGTGATCATGTGCTGGGTCCTTGAGATTTCACAAAATAAAATACACTGAAAACCAAGAATACTGGCATGTAGAACAAAATTAGAATTTAGTCCTACATCCAAAGGAAAATTTCCTAAGTTATAGGAGTTAATGGATTTGAATCTGTCTAAGGTAATGAAAGTAGAAAGTGATTCTAATAATGATCTTAGTTCTTACTGAAGTCATTATCATAATATCAAACTTTAAGAAAATACATATACTGTAGTTGTTTCACTTGTGAATATTGTAAAAAAATCTCGAGTAAATTATTCAAAGTACCACAATCAAGTGTAGCTATTTAGACATATATATGAATCAGTATTAGGAAATTTCAATCAATTTAATGTATTAACAAGTCAAAGAAAAAGTATATGATTATCTAGAATAAAGAGATGATTGAAAGCACTTTGGTACAAAAGTATTTGGTAACATATCAATATTTATTCCTAAATTTAAAAGAAAATTATAATCTAGATTAAAGAGGGAAACTAAAGTTATAGTTTATTTGTCTTTCTTACGGCTATTTTTATAAAACTAGTTCAAAGATAGTGACATAAAGGCATTTTTGCTTCATTCCTTTCCCTTTAAACCTACCAAATTTAATAAAGGTCACCTCATCTATGAAGAGATAAGATTGAATTCTAGTTCTCTACTTGAAACCAAGGACACAGGATTAGGATATTTTGCTTAAGAAAGGAGACCAAAAAATAATTCCACTAACCACTGCCTGAACTAATGGGCAGAGCTTGGAGAGCTGGGAAGACATACCCTAACAAATAGGAATTTAACAAAGCCACCTGCTGACTTCATGGTATCTGTAATACTTTGAATCTGCTTATTAAGACTATTTTTGGAATGGAGAGACAGATGAAGGAAACTCTAAAACACAAGCAGTTGAGGAATACAGAGGGAGACAGGAATTTAAAAGAAGAGAGAGACCAAAAAAAGTGCACAAAAACCCAGATTTCCAGAATACATGAAAAAAAAATTAATGCTAACAAAAACAGCCAGCAAAACCAATTTGGAACACAAATTTAACCCAGACATTATAAACTTTATTATAACAGGAGTTTTTTCTTCAGAAACCTTTTTTGGGCCACCCCAGTGGCGCAGCGATTGAGCGCTGGGCTGCTAGGCTGCCCGCAGCCTCTGCAGTGCCAGTTCGATCCCCGGCCACCAGCGAGGGTCCCACATGGCGCGCAGACCTCTCCTGCCGCCCGCTGCTCCCTTCAGCAGTGTGTTTTATCAGTCTGCCTGTTCTGCTCCCTGCTCTGGGTCTGGTGAATTCTCTCACCCTCCCGCGCTTCTGACTGTACCCAGTGCTTGTATAAATAAATCTTTAAAAAAAAAAAAACCTTTTTTATGCCATGAACACTTTGGTAGTTTGGTGAAGCCTATAGATCCTTTCCCAAAATACTGTTTTTAAATTCATAAAGTAAAATATATAGCTTTCAAAGGGATCCAATTATATTGAAAAATAGCCATCAGGTGCTTTTTTTTAAAATTTGTAATTCAGTAATATGAACTTACTAACACATTAACAAGCAATTGACGATTCTTACAACTTCTAAAATTTCAAAGTGGTTTTGAGTATGGATAATCTAAATATCTATTAAAAATGAAATGTAATATGAGATTATCTGTGATTTCTATTGGTGACAGAATAAGGGGTACTTGAAATGCTATCATGGTTTATTGTTTGTACGCACAAATGAAAATACTAAGTTTCAGTTAGAGATTAAAGTTGTGAATATTTCTGAATTTGAGATAAAAAACACTGAATATTCTTAGCTGTACTTTATCAAGACAAAGTGTATTTTAGTATTTGAATTACAGCATCTAAAGATAACTACTGGCAAAACAGAACTAGCAATATAAAACTTCTAATAGCAGGAAAGAAACTTTAACAAAGCAATTAATACAAAAGAAAATAGGAAGGGAGGAAAATGAGAACTCTCTGCCAAATAAAGACTATTAAATAATAGACTCATCTTACCTTTAAAAGACACATTAGGTTTATTGATTAGTTGAATGGTGTAACCCTCCTCTAAAAGTCTTATTGGAACATACCTTAAACAAGACAAAGGCAAAATCTGTGGATAGAAAAAGGTGAATTAGGAAAAGATAATCTTTGGGTGGAAATACTGATCAAAAGAAAACTAGTGTGGGATAATTAACATCATATATAATTGAGATTAAAACAAAATATTAGTAACAAATGGAATATTCCACAGGGAAGATATAATTGTGGTAAATTTTGTGTACCTAATAACAGAACCTAAAATACATACAAGGCCAAATGTGGGGGATTACCATGCAAGTTTGATTGATCCACAGTTACAGTGGAAGTTTATAAACATACCTTTAATCAGAATTTAATAGAACTGTTACGAAGTATTAACTGGAATCTGGGGGGAAAGTAGAAATATTAAGAACAAGGAAGCAGTGTTATCATTTGCTGATGATATGATCATATGCCTGGAAAACCCAGAAGAATAAATGAACATATGGAGGCTTATGGTAAAATCCTCAGGTACATTGTAGTAACAAGAATTTTTTTTCCCCAAGATTTTTTTAATAGCTTCTTCTGATTTCTCATTCTAGTTTTCAGGATTTTGATATTCAGGGGTCCAGAAGATGCAGTTTAGACTGGTTGACAATAGAAACATACAAGAATATTGAAAGTTACAGAGCCTGTGGTTCCACAATTCCACCGCCATATATTTCTTCACAAGATCACGTCTGGATCAGATTCCATTCCGATGAAAGTATCTCTAGAAAGGGCTTCAGACTGGCATATTTTTCAGGTATGTTTTTATATAAGAAAAATATGGAACAGAATTTTCTGTTATTAAGTGCATTAGTCTTCTAAATAATGTCCATTTAATTGTGACTAAGTCCTCAGGACAGCTGTGATTGAGGAATAAGAAGCTAAGGATTCGTGTGCTTAGAGCTGAATCTCAAGCTGCTTTGAATAATCCTAATAAAATAATCAGTTTTATAAACTAAAATCAATGTCTTTTTAAATATTTTAAATGCATTTATGTAAAAGTAACTTTTTCTCCCAGAAGTGCTTGCCAATATCTTGAAAGTTACTCAAAATATTTTTTTGCTGGTATGATTAACACTGTGTTTACATCTTCAAAGAAAAGGCATAGCCAATGTCACCTTCATAGTTGTAGTTTCAGAAGTCATCTTTTGCTATTCTTTAATTTTATCTAAAAAGAGTAAATCCTGCAAATGTGATTATCTCAGAGCATTAGTTATGTATATTTTTTACTAAAGGCATTTTATGTAGTCTGATACTACACATTTCCTTTAGCAAACATATGTTACTTTTTCTTTTTTTCTTGAAAACATAGTTTTTAATATTTAGCTTCTAAAGCACATTTTCTGTCACCTGTTTATCAGTAAATAAGTTGTTAATAGAGAGTAATCATTCACCCAATTTTGTCACTTTTGAGACTGTAGGGATCTAATGTTGGTTTTCTTTCCCTACCTTGTTATTATATATACTACGTAATATATGTATGTTATATTAAGTATTTTAGGTAAGTGCACTAAGATAATTAAAATTTTATAGGAATATAAATTTTTCTCTCTCCTATCCCTATTATTTTGATAAATACATCTATACCTTTAGTCCAGATTCCTGCAATATTTTGCAACTATATGAATATAATAGAAGTTATAAAAATAAATTAATGTGTTGTACTTACACAAAACATTATAATAGCTTAAAATTAATCTTAGCAAAATTTTGAGTCTAAATAATGGGCTTACAAAATAGCGCTCGGGTACACGTAGCGAAGTATTATACATATATAAGCAAGAACTATAAAAGAAAATAAAAAGAATTGATTTGAAAAGACATTTCAAAATGTCTGTCATTTTAAAATGCCTATTTAAAATTTAATGCCTAGTTATTTAAAATTCTTAGGCTGTATATCATTCTGGCTCACGTATCTTAAGTCCTCTTACTAAGTGTTTTGCAGTAAAGTAGTTATCTGCAGAAACAACTGGTTCCTTCCGTTTAGATCAAGATACAAAGATTTTCATGGAGCAAGTAATAAGCATTTAATAAATTGAGTTGTTCAGTAATTAGTGAACCAATATTAATTTGCTATTAGAACCTAACCTATTATTTAACATAAAGTTGTTTTTTTTTTTTAAAAGCCCCATCACTTGGACTTCTTATTATCACTTGCTGTTATATATGTGCCTTTGAAAGAGTATGTCTTTTTTTTTCCTCTGTCTCCTCTCTCCATCTTTGCTTCCCCTATGACTTCCCAGGGAAATCTGAGGAACCAAACTGTGCTTGTGATCAGTTCCGTTGTGGTAATGGAAAGTGTATACCAGAAGCCTGGAAATGTAATAACATGGATGAATGTGGAGACAGTTCCGATGAAGAGATCTGTGTCAAAGAAGCTAATCCTCCAACATCTGCTTCTTTTCAACCTTGTGCTTACAACCAGTTCCAGTGTCTGTCGCGGTTTACCAAAGTCTACACTTGCCTGCCCGAATCTTTAAAATGTGATGGGAACATTGACTGCCTGGACCTAGGAGATGAGATAGACTGTGATGTGCCAACTTGTGGCCAGTGGTTAAAATATTTTTATGGTACTTTTAATTCTCCCAACTATCCAGACTTTTATCCTCCTGGAAGCAATTGCACCTGGTTAATAGACACTGGTGACCATCGTAAAGTCATTTTACGCTTCACTGACTTTAAACTTGATGGCACTGGTTACGGGGATTATGTCAAAATATATGATGGATTAGAGGAGAATCCACATAAGCTTTTGCGTGTGTTAACTGCTTTTGATTCTCATGCACCTCTTACAGTTGTTTCTTCTTCTGGGCAGATAAGGGTGCATTTTTGTGCTGATAAAGTGAATGCTGCCAGAGGATTTAATGCTACTTACCAAGTAGATGGCTTCTGTTTGCCATGGGAAATACCCTGTGGAGGTAACTGGGGGTGTTATACTGAACAGCAGCGTTGTGATGGCTATTGGCACTGTCCGAATGGAAGGGATGAAATCAATTGTACCATGTGCCAAAAGGAAGAATTCCCATGTTCCCGAAATGGTGTCTGTTATCCTCGTTCTGATCGCTGCAACTACCAAAATCATTGCCCAAATGGCTCAGATGAAAAAAACTGCTTTTTTTGCCAGCCAGGAAATTTTCATTGTAAAAACAATCGCTGTGTATTTGAAAGCTGGGTGTGTGATTCTCAAGATGACTGCGGTGATGGCAGCGATGAGGAAAATTGCCCAGTAATTGTACCTACCAGAGTCATTACTGCAGCTGTCATAGGGAGCCTTATCTGTGGCCTGTTACTAGTCATTGCATTGGGATGTACCTGTAAGCTTTATTCTCTAAGGATGTTTGAACGAAGGTCAGTATCAAGATAAAACTATAGTGATTGTGATTGTGCTGTGTACAATAAAACATGGCCCAGATATTTGCAACAGGCACATCAGTGTGATTAGCAATGCATTTTTGTTATATATTATATTAGTTTTGAAATAGGGAAATGTTTGTGACTTATAAAATTAGCGTGAAAAGCATAAGACTTGAGGCTAAACACACTAAAAAATAAACGCTTGGAGTTACAAAGCAAGAATTTTATTTATCAGTTCCTGCTTTCAGAGTAAAGATTTTAGGAATTTTGCAAGCTTCAACTCTCAGTTATAGCTTTTTAACCTCTGCTTTTAAATATTGATTCAATAATTCCAGATGTTTAAGAGCCTACTGTGTTCAAAGCATTATGTTCAAAGAACGCATGAATAGAAAAATGAATAAAGTGTAATCTCAGAGGTAGTTTACAGTTAGGAGGTGGGAATTGGTAGGTCAAATAAAATGATGAAAATGTAATTGCAGTGAGAGCTATTAAACAAAGTGGTATAAAAATCAAAAGATACCTAATCTGATAAGGAGGGATATGGAAAGGCTTTAATTAAATAAGTGTCATTTGAAATCCATGAGTAGAATGTATGTAGGGAGAAAGTATTGTAGTTTTTAAAAAACAGCCTTGTAAAACACACAGAAGTGGTGTGCCCAGTGTTCCTCAGAGACTAAACACATAGTTTTTAACTTTTCTGCAGCAGCCTGAGATATGAAGAACTAATAGGAAATAGACAGGAACACAGGGTTAGTGTCAGGTTTTGTAGCTCAGTATGAGGCACATGTCAGAGTTCTCAATTAAATGAAAAATAGTTAAACGCTAAAGAGTGGCCTTCAGGGAGAGTTTTCTTCTGTGTGGCTCAGGCTAGATTGTACCTGGGAGAAGCTGATGGCAGAGAAGTTCCCTAAAAAGACTGCTATAGAAACAGTGACCCTCAATCCCAGTTAAGTTACAAGTAATACATTGAACAAAGAACTTGACATACCAGACAGCTAAGATATAGATGCATATAGATGTACATTATCATATTAACTATATTGCATAAGTATAACTTAAACAAGTACAGTAACTTTTTGACTACGTTGCTACATTAGAGCACAATGAAAAGATCAAGCTATTCCAGAAAGCATGGTGACTCATCTCACTGTTTTCCTTATCTGAAAAGTTGGCATGTTGGACTTCATGAATAAAGTCCAACTTTCAAATTCTTTGACCTAAAATCTCCAGCTCCCATGTTCTTAGGGGTTTAAAGATCTTTACCTGTTGCAGAGATTTTTAATTTATTAAAACTTAGTGATCCAGACACCTAGGGTGAAGTTCACGAGGTCAGACTGCTTCATCTTTGTATTCTCGGTGTTGAAGAAGTGTATGTGTTCATTGAAGGTTAACTGACTGAGCTTTAAAACTGATTAAATGTGTTAAGATTCAGATTGTTTTAATTACTGATAATTTGAGATTATTTCACTTGCCTTTTTATTTTTAATCCTTTTTATTGCCTGTTTTCTCTCAAAGATCATTTGAAACACAATTGTCAAGAGTAGAAGCAGAATTGTTAAGAAGAGAAGCTCCTCCTTCTTATGGACAGTTGATTGCTCAGGGTCTGATTCCACCAGTTGAAGATTTTCCTGTTTGTTCACCTAATCAGGTATATTGTAATTTATTATTTCTTTTTCAGTATCTCTTAAAATGAAATTTATATTTGTATGTATGGTAAAGCAGAAATCCTTGACTTTGTCAGAATTTTTGCGATCAAGTCAATATATGAAGGACTTAAAATTGTAATTGTTTGATTTTATCAAATGCTACAAAATACAAAAGTATATTTTTCATTCTAGCATGGTTATTTGATTCTTAAGCATTTTATTGTTTAGGATAACTTATTGCTTTAAAATTCAAAAGTAAAATTTGGCAAGTTATTTTCTAGTTGAACATTTAGAAGATTTAAGAATGACTATTAAAAGTAATATGGTAATAATATGTCACTTATGGCTTGCTAGGTTAACCAGTTATCAGTAAAGTAATTGAAATGAACATTCCCACCTGATTTGAGGGAAAACTTCCGTATAGCCCAGTTTTACAGTGTCTCAGAATCCACGCCATTTTTTTCAAATTGTAGTTCTCTATTAATGTGTCTGAATTTTTTTAACTACTGTTAGTGATTTTTTAAAATTCCTTTTCCAATGCTTAAAATTGTGCCAGGGTTCATAAGGGCATGAGGGTTTATACATTTAAAATATGAATTCATCCAGAAACATTTATAATATTTTTTCCTGAGATTAGAATTAAGAAAAATTGATAATCATTGCTTGCCCAGTGATTTATTGTTCAGAAGGGAAGACCACTTGTAAATGAGATTTCTGATTACAATCTGTCACCTTATTTGAATTTTTTAGGAGCTTGTTGGTGAGAGTGTATAGTTTTAAAACATTTCTCTGCCTGTAAGTTTCTAAATAAATGATTCAGAAGTTTCACTGGTGCAAAGAAGGAAAAACCTAAATTTAGCCTTTATATTATAGTCCCTGTCCTGGGGAAGATTTCTTTTTTAGATAGGAATTCAGAATATATGGTTAATCCTATCCACCTCCTCCCTCCCCACTCCACTGTTTTCCACCTACCATCCCTAAACCCTAAGGCTGACTTCCGAGAGTTCCCCCATGTGTAAAGTTACAGGGAGCACAGTTGGCACAAGACAGTACTCACATCTAACACCAGTTGCAAGTTCAGGGATACCCAAGACCATCCTCAGGTTTGATCATTCATTAAGAACTCAGAACCCGGGCCTCCCCTGGTGGCGCAGTGGTTGAGCACTGGGCTGCGAAACTGCCTGCCTCTGCAGCTCGGGTTCGATCCCCAGCCGCCCCCCCACCCCACCCCCAGCAAGGGTCCCACATGGTGCACAGAACTCTCCTGCTGCACCCGCTGCTCCCCTCAGCAGTGTATTTCTTTATTCTACCTGTTCTGTTCCCCACTCTGGCTCTGGTGAATTCTCTCACCCTCCCGCACTTCTGACTGTACCAGTGCTTGTGTAAATAAATAAATAAATCTTTGAAAAAAAAAAGGGGGAACTCAGAACCCATTGAAAGTTAATATATTCACATCTATGGTTTATTACAGGGAAAGAAATCAAATTAAAATCAGCCAAAAGAAGAGACATCTAGGACAGGGCTCAGGAGGATAGAAAACAAGGACCTTCCAGTTGTCCTCTCCTTGTGAAGTCAGGACAATGTGATCTCTGTACAGATATATGGCAGTTTAACGGAAATAATGCCAACCAGGGAAGCTCACCCCAACTCGCTGTCCAGAGTTTTTTTGGTGGTAGGGGACAACTCAGTCAAATGGGCAGGATTAATTGTCTTGCATATATATGGCTGATCACAGTCTCTAGTCTCCTCCAGAGATGAACTGAAACTGCTGACCCAAAGCCCCCACCCTACCTCACATTGTTGTTGTACATGGGAGCCTTCATCCTAAAACCCACAAGGTTCCAGGCAGTGGTATTGTAAACACTGAGCTCACATCCCAGAAACAGAGGGCAAAAGTTAGACCTCACCTTGGGTAAGGTTTAAATCTTTACTAAGTACTATACCATTCTCTAGGCTTTTAATTTCCACATGAGCGAATTCTGTTTCAATAGTTTTAAAATAAAATATGATTTTGAATGGTAAACTAGACTCACTCTGTTAGTGAGATTAAACTCAAGTTTAAAACTTTGGGTAGGGCCTCCCCTGGTGGCACAGGTGGTTGAACACCGCCCTGTGAAGCTGTCCCAGCCTCTGCAGTGCCGGTTCATTCCCAGCCTGCCGGTTCGTTCCCCGGCGGGCCGGCGAGGGTTCCACATGGTGTGGCAGACCTCTCCTGTCTCTCCCGCTGCTCCCCTCAGCAGTGCGTTTCGTCAGTCTGCCTGTTCTGATCCCCGCTCTGTCTCTGGTGAATCTTGTCACCCTCCCGCGCATCTGGTCTGTACCCCGGATCTTGTATAAATAAATAAATCTTTAAAAAAAATAAAAATAAAAAAATAAAACTTTAGGTAACAAATTATCAAATTCCCACAGCAATTTTTAAAAAGAAAAATGACCTTTTAAGTTATATCTCATTAGAATAGAAATGCTAAGGAACTTTCTTCTGCTCCATAAATTGAATAGATACATAAAATTATTACTAAAATATTAATGAGATTTCCTTGAAGAATCACTGTTAAATTGGTAGTCTTTTAATGAAACAGACATGATAATGCTGTCATGTTAAAGGAAGCATGAAAGTGTTAGGTAAGCACTGAAAGCATTGTTGATCTTAATGGGTGCTAGCTGAGTAAAAAGTAAGGATATCTGAAGAGCCTTTCATTCTTTGCTAGATGTTATGATACTGTGTTCATACAAAGCCTTAGAACTTGAATATTAAAAGTTAGGAAGAGATCTATGAAGAAGTTCATTAGGGATGTAAACCACTTTTTCTAATTTACAGTTAGGTACTTTTAATTGGTGAAAAATCTTACTCATTTGTATAGCACATCTGTGTGTGCTGATACCCAAATTTCTTATGACAATCTGTAGACTGATATATTCCTATGATTGTAACTTTAGTTTTCTATGAATTATTGGGATTATGTTGGAAAGACCTCCGTAAAAATCACAAATTCAATACCAGTCACAAAATGACGGAGAGCATAGTGCTCTCATTCTTTCCTTGTTCCTGTCCCCTTTTTTCTGTGAGGGGAAAGGCAAGAGCCATTCATTTTAATCAAGAGATCTTTTGAAAGGGAGTATATCTATAACCATTGTTTTCTGGAAATACTGTATTCTAAATAACAAATGCCAGATTGATGAGAGAGCTGTTTGTTCTAAGTTTGAATGCTCCTTTTTGTAACCACTAGATGGAGCTTAAAGACTATTTTATACAAGTGCTTTAGGTTGTTTTGGTTGGTTGGTTTTTTAATAATCCAAAACTCATTCGTCTAGAGGAATAAGTAGATTTTTCTTTCAGTTGGGCAATATAATTACCTGTCATATGCTAATTAAAAATCACCAGTTTTCAAAGAATAATGATATAATTTATTCTTATTACAAAATTGTAGAAATAAGTTAGTCTTAAAAAATTGAGGATTCCATGTGTCTCAGTTACCATTGCATAGCATTATAAATAATGTCTTTAACTTTTTGTTAGCCTATGTTATATTACAAATATATCAATCCCTTGTTATGACAATGTAAATAAATAAATCTTCAGAATCCATTCATTCAACAAATTTTTGATAACCAACTGTGAAATACAATTTTCATATAGTCTGTAAATTTTCAACCTCGTAAATCAAATTCTTAAATTGTTCCTGTGTTTAAAAAAAAAAAAAAAAAAACACCGATAAAGGGCTTAGTTTTCACACCCCTTTAGATCATTTAGTCAAACATGATAGTGATTTTGCTGCCTTTCTGACTAAAAAAGTATCAAATACTTTCATTTTCCAGCTTTTACACTTTTAGGATTGGATTGCTGTGTGGAGTTTTGAAATAAATAGCTGTTACAACTGACTGTTAAGTTAGTTAAATATCACTTTAAATAAATGTAACTTTGAAGTTGCATATATAAAGTGAAATGTCAAGAAAATCTTAAGACACAGAAAATAATGGTTCAAATTAGAGATTCCATTCTGTATAGTGAGGTGAACCTGTATAGGTAATAGAATTGAATTCATCCTCCATACACCCTAACAATGAGTAGTAGAATTTTCAGCCACAACACATTCTTATTAGAAGGGTGTTTTCCATCTTAATATCTTGTTGTAAGCTATCTTAAAATCTTTTCTTTTATATATTGATTTGTTTTGTAGGCTTCTGTTTTGGAAAACTTGAGACTAGCTGTGCGATCCCAGCTTGGATTTACTTCAATCAGACTACCTATGGCAGGCAGATCCAGCAACATTTGGAATCGTATTTTTAATTTTGCAAGATCACGTCATTCGGGGTCATTGGCTTTGGTCTCAGCAGATGGAGATGAGGTTGTCCCTAGTCAGAGTGCCAGCAGAGAACCTGAAAGAAATCATACTCACAGAAGTTTGTTTTCCGTGGAGTCTGATGACACAGACACAGAAAATGAGAGAAGAGATACAGCAGGAGCATCTGGTGGGGTTGCAGCTCCTTTGCCCCAAAAAGTTCCTCCCACAACAGCAGTAGAAGCAACAGTGGGAGCAAGTGGAAGTTCCTCAACTCAGAGTAACCGAGGTGGTCACAGAGATCATGGAAGGGATGTGACAAGTGTGGAACCCCCAAGTGTGAGTCCAGCACGTCACCAGCTCTCAAGTGCACTAAGTCGTATGACTCAGGGGCTCCGTTGGGTACGTTTTACTTTAGGACGATCAAGCTCCGTAAGCCAGAACCAGAGCCCTTTGAGACAACTTGATAACGGAGTAAGTGGAAGAGAAGAAGACGATGATGTTGAAATGCTAATTCCAATTTCTGATGTAGCTTCAGACTTTGATGTGAATGACTGCTCTAGACCTCTTCTTGATCTTGCCTCAGATCAAGGACAAGGGTTTAGACAACCATATAGTACAACAAACCCTGGAGGAAGGCCAGGTAATCGTGATGGCCCCTGTGAGCGCTGTGGTATTGTCCACACTGCCCAGATACCAGACACTTGCTTAGAAGCAACACTGAAAAATGAAACTAGTGATGATGAGGCTTTATTACTTTGTTAGGTACAGATCACTAAAGAGAGATGGTAAACAAGTTGGAGCAATATCCATTCATTGTTTTGTAACTTTACAATTAAACTAGTTTTAATTTAAAAAGAAAAAAGATGCAGGGTGATTTCTTATTATTCTACATTAGCCTGCATGGTTATATTAAACAATTTGTTAACTCTATGAACTTTAGAGTTTACTATTTTGGCAGTTAAAAATGCATTGTGTATTCATATTGTTTAATAGTGTTCTTCCATTTGTTTCTCTTTTTTTTTATTCTGGTACTGTCATTCACAGTAGAAATATGGCTGCTGAAACTCATTTGACTGTCGTATGACTCAGTTTACCTATCTTAGTTAAAAAGTTTGTACGAAATACTATTTTCATTGAACCCTTTATGCTTTTGCCAATACATCTTGTAACTGAATATATTAGATGTTAAGGTGGTTAATGTACAAAAAAAACCCCTTATACTCATCTTTGTTTTTATTTGCATAACATTTGTCTGAATTCTATTGGATTTCACCATAATACAAGCTCGTCAAAGGGGAAAAAATTTTTCTCTTATGTTTAACAAGCAGTGATAAGAAATTTAGAGTTAGGTAAATTAATGGCAAAAACAAAACTTTTATAGATTTTCTAATGTTGACTTTATTACTCTAATATGGTACAAACCAAATGGTAAAATCCCAAGTCATTTCTTTTTTCATCTCTATTTAAGGACAGAATTAAATGGATGACGATATTCTACTATGCATTAAATCTTGAACTTTATAAAATATGTACAAAAATTGTACAAGATAAGTTCCAACTGGTAATGTCTTTCCCTGATAAAGGGTTATGCTTGTATTGGACCCTAGGGATTTGCACTAAAATCATTTCAAGGTCTCAGATGAGTTTAGTGCGCAAGCACTATCACTTTAAATACTATTATTTGCTATCACGATGACTATATTTCCATAGCTTTTGGGGGGGGCGGTGAGGAGGACATTTTTATTACAACTTGAAATTGCTTTGCTGGTTTCATATTTATTTGTTGTATTTAAAGACTGCATTATTGTAAGGAAGTGATTTTTTTTCAATATGTTTTATTCATGGGGGGGCGGTCATGCTATCTGTTGAAAAAAAACAAACTAAGAAATTATTCAGATCCACCCCCTCCTTTTAAGTAGAGTGAATTGCAAAACTGCATATTTTTTTATTGTCAATTCCTGTTTATTTATTCCTTAGCTGTCTGTTTTAGTAGCTTAATGATTGAGTATGAAAAATGTATTTGTGATTATTGCTATTTATTAAATTTTAAATACTTTGCTGAATGTCATTTTAAAGCATGTTTGAGGTCTTGTGTATTTGTCCTGTTATGCTGTCAGAAAGAACTGACTGAAATGTTTTAATATGTATCAAAAATTAAAATGACTTTTTTTTTATTGCCTTGAGGTAATTTTTAAATCAAGTTGTTCTTTATTTTTGTTTCATTTTGGTGCACATACATATTTAGGCCATACAGTATGCACTATGTCTAGAAAAACTGATGAGGGAGTATTCTCCTTAACTGCTTTCCAGTAAAATAGAAGCTATACTAGTAGTACTCATGGGTAGAAAAACCCCTAAGAATCCAAAGGTCATTTAACCTTTGAGAAAACTGTCTGCCAATTGATATTATCTTATAAGATACAGTAACTCAAATCAGTTTTCTTTTTATATTATTTTCACATACATTTCAGGGCCCTAGTCTACTGGTAGAATTTGGGTTACCACATTAATCTTGTTTAGATCCTACTAATAGTACACTATCCTTGTATAGTAAAAAATTTCCTATTCTCAATGTCTATCTTTTAGTTTTCTTTCAAAGAGATATCAATACCAGATTCTTGTATTACCTGTCCAGAGGTACTGTACAAAAACATAAATCTATCCACATATGTATAAATGTCATATATAGTAACACAAATTATAACATACTGTGCATGTTTTTCCTGCACATTTTTTCAAGGGGAAATGTTAAGAATTTGAATATTAAAATTGGGTATTGCTACTATTTGATATTTAAATTTATTGTGTATATAAGGTTATTCTTCCTCACCTATCCCCATAACTTCCTAGTTATCCCAAAGTGTTTATTAAATAATTCTACTTTACTTACTATTGAAATTAACCCTTTTATAGTAAATTTCCATATTATTTGAATGCTTTCTAGACTATTCTGTTCTGTTCAATTATCTGCCTTTTTTCTTGTTCCAACAGTTCTATATTGTTTTAACAACTGTCATTTTTAAATGTTTCGAATATTCTTGCATATTTTTCCACTTGAACTTTAGAATCAATTTGTTAAGTTCTACAAAGCAAATCCACTACCTTTTTTGAACAGTTTTACTCATGAATTAAATTAGGATGCTTGACATCTTTATCATGTTAAAGCTTCTATCTAAATTATGGTGCCATAGCTAAATATGGTTTCCATTTGTTCAAGTCATTTATTGTTTCTATTTATAGAAACCTTTCACATTTTTAGGAGTTTATTCATAAGAATTTAGTCCTTTTTGTTATCATTAGAGAACTTCTGTTTATAATTATCTGATATTAGTGTATGTGAAGGGTAATGATTTGTTAATTTTTACCTAGCTGCAAATTTCCATTTTCTTTTTTCTTTTTTTTGTGGGACCCTCCCCGGTGGCCGGGGATTGAACTGGCACTGCAGAGGCTGCAGGCAGCCTCACAACCCAGCGCTCAACCACTGAGCCACCAGGGGAGACCCCAAATTTCCATTTTCTTATAGTTTGTAGACAGATCTCAGTTAATTCTCTCTTGTTTTCCAGTTGTATAGTCATGTATTTCAATTTGCGTACCTCTGCATCTTAATTATATTACCTAATGCTTCTAAGATAATGTTAAATATATTAACTATAATTAACAGGGTTGAGATACATTTACTCATGTTAAAAAGTAGCCATTTACCCTAATTTTTAAAAAATTAATCAAGAATGTCTTGAATTTTATCGCATCTTCTCACATTTATGGAAGTGATCATAAGATTTTTTTGATCTTTTAATATGATGAATTTTACTAATATATTTCAAAACTGTAAGCCATCCTTACATTCCTAAAATTAACTGTTTGACCGTGTGTAGTATTATTTTAATATATTACTAGATTGCTTCATATTTTATTTAGGATATTTACATCTATTGAGTTAGGTTAGTCTAGAGTGTTTTTGTGTGTGTGCTATCTTTCAAATGTTTTGTTAATTTTATTCTGGTGAATTTGAAAACTCTTGTCCTATTCCTATCCTCTGGAACATTTAAATGGCAATAGAATTTTCTGTTCCCTGAAATTTCTGTGAAGTTACCTGGCACTAATGGATATTTGTCAAGTGGCTCTTTTCCAACTTTGTATTGTGCAGGATAATGTGTTTTTATATACTCTCTCAGATCATAAACCATCCATTTCATCCAAGTTTTCAAATTTATTTGTGTAGAATTAAGGGAAGTAACATCTTTTTATGTGCTTATGATTCTTTTCCATGTATTATGTATAATGCTTGCTCCTACTGAGATAGCTAACAGTTAACCTAATTTTTATTGTGGGGTTTTGGTTTTGGTTCCTCTAAAGTGATATGCCTTGAATGTTTCTATTCTATGATTTTTCTGTTTTCCAATTGTTTCCCACTTCAATAAATTTCCTACTTTTTACTTTCCATAGTTTGTTTTTTCCTAACTCTTTCATTTAGCACTCCATTTTTATTTTTTATTAATTACTAACATAGGATTCAAGGTGTGGAGTTAATTCTGAGTTTTCCTTAAGATAAATCAGTTATATTAGTATTGTTACCATTTTTTATGTGTTCTAAAGTTTCAGTTTTGATTTCATCTTATATTTGAAAAAGTTATTTTCCTTTTTTTTCTTTGTAGTTTTTCTCCACCTCATGGTATTGTTTGTGTGGGTAGTAGTTTTGTTTCCTGCTATTTTTATTTTCATTTTTATGGCATCAAAGTCAAATAATAAGTGTACTCTACCTACTTTAGGGAATTATATGGTCTTTTCTCAATTTTTTAAATGTTCGAGGAGCACTTTAAGAAAGATCTGTTTACGAAACACAATTTTAATAAATATTACTCAGATGTCATGTCATTTTAATCCTCTCTACACTAGTCTGTCTTGTTTCATCAGTCTGTCCAGTATCAGTATACAAGAGAATAGAAACAAAAGGGGCTGTGTTAAGGAGACCAGCAGACCTTGAGCCTTAGTTCAGGTATATTCCAGGTCTGAGAACTTAAGCACAGTTGATGAAAGGGAATCTTTCCACAAGCCAGTGAGGCTTGCTACTACTGCTTACCACCATCATCCACTGTTAAAGTGGAAATAAAGTAAGATAGGTTTTAAAGGAAAAGAGCACACTCAACTCACTAGGTGTTATTTGTACCTACTACAAACCCAGCGATGCTGCTACTGCCCTCTGGGCTACTCGGTTATTCTCATATAGCCTTTCTCCTGAATTTCAAGGGAAGAGAATGACAGCAACTTGATAAGACCTGTTTTACTCAAGTGGAACTATTAAAATGATAGGAGCAGGCAATAGAAAGATCAGGTCTCAAAGTATCTGAACCCTAAGATTATCATACAAACTGCATGTGGATATTGGCATGGGTCAAAAGTTGCTTATTTTTCCATGTATTCATCATTCAAAGTGGTAGAATGAGGCAAAGTAAAATTCACAGAATTTTAGAGGTGAAAGGAATCTTTAAAATGAGGAAGTAATATAGTTGATGAATCCAGAATGTTCTCAACTTCAGACAAATGTGTAGCTACCTATCATGTAACATAAGCCACACTTAGATTACCATTTCGTGTTGTCACAGGATTTTTTCCTTCTAAGAATCAGGCCATTGTTTTGACATTTCGATTCATCATTGACCCTCAATGTATGTATTCCATGTTCATATTATCAAGGACCATTTCTGAGAGTCTTACCACAAAATGCTTTTTCATCATAGGAAAGAATTTTCAGCAAATATTTACCATTGTTGAGTGTCTGCTACCTGCCAAGCCCGTTACATATATCTTCGGCATCTTCCCAGTCCTATGAACTACAAACTACACCTTCTATGTACCTAGGAGCATACGGTGAGTAAGGGCAGAACTAAGAATTGAACTTAGTCTTATCTAACTCAAACTATTTTGTGAATAAGATGGATCACAAAGTCAAATAACATCAATCAGGAGAAATGCCCATCAGGTTGGAGCCTGGAAGTCAGATTACACAAACTCACTTCCTGAGGGGCTTTAGCTTCCTCATCTAAAAATTATAATAATAATAGCTACTTCATAGGATTGTGAGGAATGAGAAAGATGACATCTGTAAGTGGTTCAGCACATGTTTTGGAGTCTATTGCTCTGTAACCTCTCCAAAACTTTATGCTTAAGCAACCAGTCAGTTAGTTTGCTCACAAATTATTTGGGCAGAGCTCAGTGACTTTGGCACATCTTATTCTTGGCATGCTTGGGGGCTAGACTACATACTCCCAAAAAGTATACCTCTGTGGTTGGCAGGTCCATACTGGCTACTGTCTGGGAGCTCAGGGCACCAGCCAGGAGCCGTTCATCCTTGCCAAGTGGCCCACTCCAGGGAACTGCTGTGTTTCCTTGCAATACGGAGCCCTTTAAGAATGAGCATTCCAGGACTCCACAGATGCTCTAAGCCTTCTTATTACAGTCTCAGAAGTACCCTTTTGCCCAAATTGAATAGAAAGAAATAACTCCGTTCTCAATAGTAGACATGGTAGAGAATGTGACGTATCTAATCTACTGCAGCAAAGTACCTGATACCTGAGAAACATTAAGTTGCCAGTATTAGTATTTTAAGCAGAAAAACCATTAGTTTCAATAATACATTTGCTAAAAGATTTCAAATTAAGTTGGCTTCTCTGTCATGTCACATATATTATGCATATCTTATCTTTATTACAAATATAAAGGTATTTGCTTTAGCATATTTGTCAAGAATCAAAGGATCAGTGAAAAACAAGCAATTGGTAAATGTTAGCATTAGCAGCTATTTTTCAACTACATTTAAAATAACTTCCATTCCAACATACTTAAGTATAACAAAATTTTCATAATGTATTAGAGGCAACTAATGGGTACAAATCTGGAGCCAGCTTGATTGAGTTTTAATCCTGTCCTACTCTTTAGTAGGGTGTGACCTTCAGCAAGTCAATCACCCTGTAGTTCAGTTCTCATCTGTAAATGGATAAAAGGGCTATTAGAGGTTTAAATAAATTAATAAACAAAGCTCTTGGAACAGTGTCTGGTTTATGGTAGTGCTATTATTTGCTATCATTGTCAGCTGACTGAATGTTGGAACACCTCTGAAGCTTGGATTTAATAAATGGGATATTGTATGTGACAAGTTCTAAAAGTTGTGATTTCTGAAGAGAAATGGAAACATCGTG